AAATTATATATGGCACTGCGTTTACGAGTTGTGTTGAAGCCCATGGCGGTTCTTTCTGCATTTCCAGTTTGTTGCAGCCTCATCATCAGAAGACTGATCTCTCCCGATTCGACAGAGAGAAAACCACATGAATCACGGGCAATTACAGACACACAGGAAGAAACGGGGAAGTGGAGAAATCATAAATATTTATTTGTGAAAGGAGGATTGGAACTTGTGAAATTCTACTCCGATCTGTGGAATTATATTTAAGCCTATTAAAGATTCATTTGGTCAGTGAATTTTACAAATTCCCATGCTGAATTATTTATTTAAGTGGCAAAACGTGTTAGGGAGACTGTTAGTTTTTATACCAGTGACTGTAGCTGAATTATAGATTCTCAGGCTGATGTGGGAAGGTGGCTAATGAGAAACTGCAGGGATTATGCTGGAGACATGCCAGCTCATTGGGTGAGAGCAAACAGAAATTGGTGCACACAGATATTAAAGTCATGAAGTAAGTCATGCAAAAATGTGGTCGTATCACATTTGTAATCCTCTGCTGTATCTTTTAATATAAATCTTAAAAATTCTCTTCTACATAAAAAAAAACATCTGATCTAGAATCCATCCATCGAGCTTCCACCTCCCATCCTTGCTATAAAGTATGACGCACGAGGCGTGATGGAATTTTATTGCGAACCGCATGAAAACAAAATAAGCGAGAAGATCAATGAAAATGCAAATGCGAGCTGGAAAAAGAGACATGAAGCAGAACACTGCATGCTGCCCGTTTCTCTCCGTCTCCTTTGATCATAACACGCAGTGTTTTTTCCTGCTGCGCTCACGCTCTCTCTTTCTCTGCACGCAGGTCTATTGACATTCACGTGAACATCGCGAACTCGAAGACATTCATCAGACAGCACATCTTATCCATCCTCGCACCTTGGAGCTAAAAACAAGACCCCCCCACCACCAACCCACAAGTCTCCTCCACCTCCTCCACCCTTACAGGAGCCTGACTCTTCGGACATGGACAGACAAACACCTCCAGTGTCCTTCTTACTGGTTTATGATGAGATCATCTGCAAATGAACTGTAAAACCCATAAATCCGATATACGCTGGAGAGTAGTATTAAGGCCAAAAGAAGCACATTGCTTCAAGTCTCTGAAGATGCAGAACAAGATGCTGACACAGAGTGTAGGAGTATAACACAATCCTGTTTGGGATGTTGGATGCTCCACTATCCAAAAAAAAAAAAAAAAAAGCTCTTATGACTAATTTCAGACTCTTTTTCCATCCCAGAGATGACTTACAGACAGGAAGTGTTTTGCTTTTTGGACAAGTGTATCTCATAAAATAACCACAAGCAAATGTAGACTGTCTACAGAATGAAATGGACAATATCAATCAGCTGAGGCGACTCATTGCTTCACCGTGTAGACTTCTTGACGTCTTTCTCCTGTTAATGAAAACAGGAAGTCTTTGATCGTGTTGATCCTACTGTCTGGTATTTTCAAGTGTAAGAGACTATCCAGCTGCATCCTGCTTTCCTGAGTTCTTTCACTCTTTCTTTCAAGGGTCTGTCTACATAGGATTGGGTATATTGTTTGATGAACGCTCCATTTTGCCTCTGAGGCAACGTGCAACGACACCTGAGATGAATCCTTTGACGTAGATAGGAAATAAAGGATGTGTTTGTGTACCTGCGTGCATCACAGTGCCACGTGTGCCGATGGGGTCAGATTACATCGGTGTTCTGTTGCTTGAACATCCATCATGTAGATTTCTATGTTTCCAGTGTCCAAGGAGCGAGAAACATGTTTGCCTCTTATTTCTCTTAGCTTATTGTTAAGTTGGTGGCCTGAAAAAAATGATAAGCCACACCAGAGAGTGTTTCTTTTAAAAAATAAGTTACATGATGGACATGAGGATTGTACGCACCAGGGTCTAGCAAGCATAGAAAAACAGGCAAAAAGAAAATGGCCACTTTCAGTGAACAGTAGGTTAGTAATTTATCAGTCTGGAGGGGTAGGCAGAGCTCCCTCGGTTGTGAATTTTAATGGTGTTTTATGGTTCCTAATAAAGTCTGTTATGCTTCTGGCAAATATGCAGAGCACAACATCCCTCGCTTCCAATTACTGAGAAACTCAAGGAGAGACTTCAGCCATTCATCATGCCATACCGTTACCCAGAAATAACAGGAGAAAATCTCTTTCTGTCTCCCCCCCCCCCTCTCTTTTTCTGTCTATGGTCTTTATGTCCAGATACCCGAGAGATGTGACAAGTGAGTCTGTTCTCACAGCAGCATTTAAAAATGAGCCAAAGCACAAGCACTTTTGGGAAGGAGGACATAACACTGCAAAGATAAAATGAAACATTGTGCATGGTTCTAAATATCCTCATCTCTAATTTATTCAAATCACAGCCAAATCTGAATGTTCGATTGGTCTACTAAAACAGTGTTCCTGCACACATCTGGCACATCTGGAAATGAGAAAATTAACAAATTCTGTGCACGAACGCAGCCTGCTTTCGTTTTTTGGAAAAGAAAGCATGAGATCAACAAACGTTGCGGTCACTGGACCCATATATGATGGTGAAGCCAGAGCTCAGTTTGCAAACAAAGCTCTCTTATTGCCAGTCACTCTATGTCCCTATCCTCACCTACGGTCATGAAAGAATAAAGTTGTGAGTACAGGCGGCAGAAATGAGGTTTATCCGCAGACTTGCTTGGATTACTCTCTGTGACAGGTTGAGGAATGAATGGTACAGTTAACAAACTTTAGCAAAAAACCGAACAAATTGAAAGTTTAAAATAAAATCTGCAAAAAAGTCTTGAAAAGGTCTGGAATCTTCTCATGTGGAAAGGACATCACTGAAAGTTTGGTTGTAATTAAATTGATTCTAGACCTATAAAAATCTATACAATCAAATTTCACTTAGAAACTTTACCATGCAATGGATTTCACTAATTTTCTTAAGACCTTTTAACGTTTTTGTTCACGCAATTTAGCTCCACCCCCTATAGTTGCTTAGCTCTGCCTCTTTTTTTTTCACTACAAGATTCAACTCATATACTATACTAAGTTGAGCACTGGTTTAAAGGAAGGAGGGTTTGAGTTAAAGGCTTTTCAGTGTTTTCACTGCAGTTGCAACTCACCTCGCAGTAAGTGAGCAGTCTCGCTTAGAAACTGATCCATTAATAGAGGACGTCGCTGAGATTCCCTTTGAAATGAATTGAACATTGCTACAGCTCAGCAAGACCAGCGTAGTTTATACACAGACTATTAAAGATGGACCAATTTGCCATTCAGTCCTATTTAGACCCATTTAGATCTAGCATTAAAATGCAATCCGTATCTGAATATCTTATTTAAATAATGAATGCTCAAATGTTGGCCCTTATACTTCTGTTTGCATTTCAATTGGATCTCATTTCATGGGATGTGAGCCAGCTGTAATAGTTTCACTGAAATGAATTGAGATAAAACAGGCAGGTGTAGGATGACCAGAGATGATTAGGGTGTTCAGCCAGTACCTAATTTTCCTTTGCTGAGGAAAGGGTCATCCAAGTTATCTCTCAGAGGGCAACAAGTTGTTTTTTTTTTTCATATAAGATAAACGAATGCCATACTTCAAAACGAGCAGCCATATGTTCAGCTTCATCTGCTAAAGCAGCAGCCTGCAGGGTTTTTTGATATAATCTGAAGACCTTAATATGAACCCACTGTAGGGATTGTATTCACACCTGGCTGACTCTCCCTGTGATCCAATCACAACGTGAGCCAGACCACCTGCAGAGATGGTGCTTTCTCATCTGGTCATATTGGGACGCCTGTGCATTTTCATGTGCGTTATTTTATCCAGATAAGAGCACATTATAATGCAGTAGGGCCACCGATTGCCAATTTATCATTCATCAGTAGCCAACAGGCAACTCTATTAAAGGCCCAAGAGACCACAGTGCTATTTCATTCTGACACAGCCATCCATTCCGGTGTCATCTTACTGTCATATTTATGTACATATTTACTCATCGTAAGCACTACTTGGAGATACGGAATCAATAGCACTGCAACATCAATCTATGAGCCGGACAGTGGCGTGCAGGTCTCGTTATGGCTGATCTCTGGACTTTGCTGCATCTTCATATGAGACCATGTGCTTCAGGGACCCATGTGATTTATCTGTCAAACCACAATGCTTCAGGCAGGCACATTAAAAAAAACACATGACTTAAACCTCATCGGAACAGAGCTGCCTTCTTAGGCAACTACATGATGGAGTCATATGGGAGTGGAGAAAGAAGAGTAGTTTGACACATGTAGACATCTCATGAGAGCAGGGATTGAGTCTGGATATGCCGCAAGACTACTTTTTTAAAGGAATATTGTTTTTCAGTTTTATCTGTAGCACTATCCGCAAGATTTTTTAAAACATTTCCCCAAAAACAAGGAAAAAAGGTAAACCCAGTTGACTTGAAACACTCCTATAATGGAAGTCTAGGGGCACTTGTTAAAATTAGTAAACATTCAGATATATGATGATATAAATTTAAAAATGCAATCATTAAATTTTAATATTAGAGTGACACATTTCTGCAAAAATATGTATTCTACAAAAATGTGTTTTGCATAAATGTTTGACCGACAACAACTGCCCTTAGACTTTCCATCACAAGTGAGTTTTGAACGAACAGGTTTTTGGTTCTTTTCACACTAAAAAATGTGTCAAAAATGTGTCAAAATTCTTGTTCGTGAGGTCTCGCTACCTTTACAATCAAATTGGAGGGCGGTTTGATTGCAGTGAGAAAGCATTTAGATCCCGAATCGACCCAATTACAGGACGTTAACCAAACATGCCAAGTGCAGACAGAGCTAAGTGCTGTGGAAATGTGATGTTCTGGAAATTTTGACAGACAAACAAAAAAAATAAATAAACATTGGATGCAATACACAAAATATTTTAAACTGGTAATTTCTAGAATTATCTAGTAATATATTGCATGCAGCTCGGTCTCTGGAGGACTAGTGGTTAGGCCTCTGCACTTTCACCACCGTGGCCCGGGTTTGATTCCTACCCAGAGAATCAACTCCAGCCACTGGGGTTGCCCAAGACAGTGCACTCCGAGTGCTGGTCCCAAGCCCAGATAAGACTAGTTTTAAACTGGTAATTTCTAGAATTATCTAGTAATACATTGCATGCAGCTGTGGCTCTGGAGGACTAGTGGTTAGGCCTCAGCGCTCTAGCCACCGCAGCCCGGGTTAAATTCCCGACCAGGGAACCAACCCCAGCCCCTGGAGTTGACGATATGCCGTCCCAAGCCTGGATAAAATTGGGGAGGGTTGAGTCAGGAAGGGCATCCGGTGTAAAAACTGTGGCAAATCAAATATGTGGTCCAGTGATCCGCTGTGGCAACCTCTAATGGGAGCAGCCAAAAGAACAACAACAACAACATATTGAGTGCAGCTCTGTGTTCTCCATGCCTCACAGACTTTTTCCATCATCGTATTTCTGACCAATGAAATACACTCTGCAGCCAGTGTTTTTTTTTTTTTTTTTCTGTTTTTGGTTCGTTTAATTGTGTACAGTGAGAACGCAAACCAAACCAAATAGCAAATGAACCAAAAGTACCAAATTCACTCTGATTCAGATTCAGGAAGTGAGTAACTTCATTAACTTAAGTAAGAATCAAAGGTGAAGCTTACTGATGGAGTTGCTTATTTCATATCTATCAGATATAGCCTTTGTTTGGCACAGAGGATTAGTGACTCTAACTGCTGCTGCCTCTTTCTTTCACTCTCGGGTAGCCTCACAGGGATTGCTGACCTATAAGAGTACACACTGGGCGATGGGATGTGTGTATGTCAAAAGACAGCCATTTGCCTTTAAGCACACACACACACACACAAACACACATGAATATGCTGCTGTTACTCATGCAGAGAATGAAACTCGACAAACACTCGAAAACCAAGGCATAAGAGAAATCCAGCTTTCAGTGCTCGTACAGCTATTATCAAATTTTATCTTATCCTTTTTGAGTGCAGTGTTTTTCTACCTTTTTATCCAAGTGTGGACAGGTCAAGTGAAAGCTCCAGTGTGTTCTCCAGTCCTGTGTTTTGCTGCCTGGAAGTCTGATTAACTAGGCTAAACAGCAGCAAATAACATAATTAAATTCTACAGTATGACAAGTTAATTGTGTTCATTGTGACTTTTGTAGCCAAAATCTTTATCCTCTCCTGATAATTTCTCTGCTGAAGAAGCACCATGTTTGTGCCATTAACAAAAAGGCAGAACATCTTCGGCTCACATTTTGGCTATGGGCTGTGGTGTTCTCTCACACCAAAAGACATTCTCGAGTCTGAGGAGCGCCATGTTGTGCTAGCATTAGAGTCATGTAACAGTTTTTGTGCTGCACTGTACTGTATTTTGCTCAGTTTTGTCGCTGATTCCACATCCTTTGCATTTCTGATTCTGGAAAGATTGTCTAGCATTCACGCAAGCTAATTAACTGTTGCTACAAACAGCCAAAGTTCATGTGCATAGTACAACAGGTGGCAGGATTCAGAAAAGAGTAGCACATGCAACATCACACCAAGAAATTTCTTTATCCGGTCGTTGGACGAGTGAAGTAAAACAAACACTGGTGACCGTAATATCAACAGATTACTGAACGTGTTTGTATGGTAGGCAACTGTGAATGAAACTCTGATAGCCTGAATAAGTAATATGTGTGTCCCAGGCGCTCAGGCTAGCGATTTGTCCACCCCTATTAACTGATTTAACTGAGGCATGTTTAGAAAATTCCACAAACACAAACTGATTAAATAACAAAGGACATACCAGTATGAAAGAACTGTTACAGAAAACCCATTTGTCATGCCACCACACTGCATAACCACAGTTGTATAAGGAACACCATCACAAGGAACAATAAAAAACCTGTTGAAACCCACAGGGAAACCTACACCTATCATCAGAACAGTTGAAAATTTAAATAATTTAATTGTCTAGAAATGAAATATTAGCTTCTCCATTGCAGTGGACTGTCAAGTCAGTGATATTTCCACTAAGCATAGGATACTAGGGAAAGTGGTCTCCTCCAAAGTCTTCAGTTTTATTACTATAAATAAGATACACTATATGGCCAAAAGTTTCTTAACACTTGTCTATAACACTCAAATGTGAGCATGAGTGAGGTCAGGCACTGACGTCAAGCAAGGAAGCCTGGGGTGCAGTTGGCGTTCCAGTTTATCCCAAAGTTGTTCAGTGGGATTGAGTGCTTCTACCTTTGTGGCTACAGTTTGGGTAAAACCCACATATTGGCCATATAGTGTACTTTAGCAAAAGCACTCCCGTGGCTTGGATGCAATTTTCGGAGATCTTGGTCAAAAAATATTTCTATTTTTTTTCTGTAGGTCCTGCGTTGGCCTTCTGAATTATATGCGATTATATAGGGTATCTGTAATTTCCTATGGCAAGGGTTATTTTATTCATAATTACGCTATCATGTTCAGCCATTACAACAGGATGGCTTTGTGCAGCCTATATTATTCAACAGATTTTCAAATCACTGTCATAAAAACTATTTTTGTTAGAATGAATTAGAAAGTTAGGTTTGGGCTAGATGGTAGTAGAGAGCGGCACATCACAGCACATGCGCACTATTTAGCTTAGCAGCTGTTATTGTTACAATGAACAATAAAGTCTTAGTTGCACCTCAGCATTTCTTAGGTTGGTGCTACAGGTGTAAAGACCTCTCTGTAAATTGGTCTTAGTTACAACCTGTTTAGAAGTTACAACCAACTAAGTTAAGACCTGTAGGTTCACCCAGCCCTCTGTGTTTAATAGGCGGTCATAAACGCTCTACCACGACAACCACAATGGCTTGTAATAGGGAGACACAACACATTTTGCTATTTGAGCAACTACTGTAGAGGCCATAATCTAAATTCTCAAGTAAAACTAATTTATTTTGGATCATCAAATCTCCAAAGCTGCCAAACAAAAGCTTATGTACCAGGTCACAGCACCATCACAACCCAATTTCCTCCCTTAAATTTGTACCTGTGCACCTTGCCTCATGACACTTCAAACTCCACTACACATTTGAAAAACTACAGATGATTTAAAACAATCATAAAGCTCAAAACCCACAGGGTAGCCTGTTTAGAGATATAGTGCCAGTCCCTAGTGAATTTATCAGTGAGAAGAATTTCTCTTCATTGTGCAGTTTTCACCTGCTAACTACACTTCTCTACTAGAGCAGGATTGGGTTGCCTCGGGATAACTCTCAGAATGTGTTTGTCTGAATGTATTGACACTGTGTTTAATGCTGTTTGTCCCCTCCAGGGTATGCAGTTGTCTTTGTACCAGAATGCCAATTTGGATTGTTCCTTGTGGCTCAATTACTTTCCCTCTCCTTCGCCAGTCCTATTTCAATGCCATCACCCAGCAGCCTCAGAAACTGAGATGAAAAAGTACTCTTTTTTTGATAACAATTTGTCAAAGTAAGCTATTTGAACAGGTTTTTTTCCATTATCTTTGAAATAGCAAATTGGATAAGAGCAAAAAATTAAACTGGCAGTTTGTGTGTGTGTTTGGAGAGATATAAAACATTCACAAGCATCCAGAAATGATCTATTCAATTCTTTAAACATGTACATTTCCTTTCATGCTTTCATTTGTAGCCCTGTAAAGGGAAAGGGAAGCACGGGACATGAAAAGGAAAGGCAATGTCAACACACGTTCCAAACTGATTACAGTCTGAGAAACCTGTTTGAGATCAAGAAGCTGTAAACAAATGTGTCTGAGGAAAAGCTGCCACTTTCTCTTCCTCTGTGATTTGCTACAGGAATGTCCTTCAGTTTTCTCAGCATTATACAGCAGACAACAGCAATATAGCATACATTAGCCCAATAGGCATTCATTTATGGCCTATTGTTTTCCTAAAGACCATCACAAGCATATGGTGTACTCCAACCTAATGGACCATGAGGTATAAGGGGACAAACTGATGTTCTTGAATGTCCAGCAACTCAAGTCACCCCAAGGATCATTAGATTCAATATAGACCTACATACCACATTATGAAACCCATCAGCTCCAAGGGCTTCTTGGAGATGGCACAGAAACAGACATAAAACAGGGCAAATGAAATGGGCCTACACAACAAACAGAAGAAATTGAATTCTCAAACAGCGCTTCACAGTTCAAAGCCAGCAAGCCAGGCTCTGATCGATAGTAATCATTTGTAATTGCTGTTTTTCCCTGTGTGTTATTTCCTCTGTGTGATTTACCCATTACTGTGAAACAAATTATATATGTATAGGACATCTATACATAAACTCTTCTTTTATTTAATTATACTTATTTGGTTCCTAGCCAATCCAATAGACAAGTTATAATGCAAACTCCTCTCAAATGCATGTAAGTATCATTAATATGGAAAGCCAATGACCTCATTTGATGCAAGTTAATCAGTTAGTAATATTTTTGCCCGTTCTTACCTTTCATTTCCTTACAAAGAAGTTGAAAGAAACTGAATAAGTATAAACACTTTGCAGGGGACATTATATTAAATTAAGTCAAATTTGTCTGATATTTCTTACTATACGATTCGGCCTTTCTGTACATATTTCATTTCATGTTTGAAATTGTCTTTTTTGCAGATAATTTTGCTTCTTTCTAGAAATAAATGCTTGAAACAAGCTAAATTGTCTGGAAATTAAGTAGGTACTGTTACTGTCTCCCAGCTCCAGGATCTCTGATTCAATCCTCAGCTCGAGATGCTTTCTGTATGGCTTTCTGTATGTTAATGAATGAATGAATGACCAGTGGGACCAGTTCTGAAGGCATTTTCTTTTTGAAAAGCAGCTTCTCTATCTATCACAGCTGCCTTCATGCATTTTTTTTCTCAAAGTATTTGTAGTATCCCATGACTCACTTCTGAAAAATCAGTTTCATCATGAGAGAGAAGCCCTCATCTGTAAACCATATCTAAAAGAATCTGACTCCTAGTGAACTGTATCTAAGATGTCCTGATGTTCTGGATCACTGGTTGCTAATCAGAGTTATAAATCTATAGAGAGGAGAGGAGGGGTGAAGCGGAGTGGAGCAGCTGCGGCTCACTGATGCATATCATCACATCTTTCCCATGCTCACACAGTCTCAAGCAGCCCCGTGTCGGGCTGAATCTTGGGCATTTACTCAGGCTGGACACATGGACCTGCTAACAGTCACCTTTGGATGAAAAATGAGACTGTTTCAATTACTTTATGG